CGAGAGAAAAATGAAACATTACTTTGGAGATTTGTAACAAAATATTTAAGAACATTAGATTATAGTCTATTGAAACAACAACACCCCCCCCCCACATCACCCTCATTGTTATTAAAGAGCCATATTAAGACCAATTTATTTACTGCATTAAGTCTAGTTTCAATCTGATGGTTTGCATGAACACAATAAGAATAGCAATTAATTGTATGGGCTCTTTTAAAATCTGCTTTGCTGCCTGGCCGGCATAGCTCAGTGGTTGAGCATTGACCTATAAACCAGGAAGTCACAGTTCGATACCTTAAGAGTTCTGTAATCTTATCTGTAGAATTCTGTAGCACACCTTTAACTATCCTGGAAGTAGCTAACGTTAATTAAAGTATGTGTTTCTGCACCTCCCGCTGATGGGAGATGTATTGCTGAGCCTGCCATGGATCAGGCTACTGTGAAAAATCATTAAGCCATTTCCCTCCTGCCATGGTACTGAATTGGAGATTTCTTTTTTATTGCCTAGCACAACTTCACTCTCCTCTTTTTTATCTATTCAGTAAGATATTATCTAGGATCAGATCTCTAAAATGTTGTTGCTTATATATCTTTGAATATAGCCACAGTTTGAAAGGCCTAGCTGGGCACAGTATCTTATTGTAAGCTCTTCTATTTGAAATGATTTTCCTTTTGAGAATGTATACTCCAGTCTAGTTCATACATTTATTTCAACTTTCACTATATTGAGGCTTCGAAAGAAAGGAAGGAAGGAAGGAAGGAAAGAAGGAAAGAAAGAAAAAGAAAGAAAGAAAGAAAGAAAGAAAGAAAGAAAGAAAGAAAGAAAGAAAGAAAGAAAGAAAGAAAGAAAGAAAGAAAGAAAGAAAGAAAGAAAGAAAGAAAGAAAGAAAGAAAGAAAGAAAGAAAGAAAGAAAGAAAGAAAGAAAGAAAGAAAGAAAGAAAGAAAGAAAGAAAGAAAGAAAGAAAGAAAGAAAGAAAGAAAGAAAGAAAGAAAGAAAGAAAGAAAGACCTATTTATAGCATTTGGACCTTGAGTCATTGAAGAAACCACAGCATGAAAAAGGGTCAGATCAGAGAGGTGTTTTGAAAATCATCTGGTCCAGCGGTAGAAAACTGATCATCTCATCAGGTGACTCGGAACACTGGTAAGACTAGTGGACTCCATGAACATGAGTCCCTGGCGAAACTTTTTTTGCTATGAAATTAGTGCCTTGGTCAGTCACAACACAGTAGGCGAGACCATGACAGGGAATCAACTATTCTGTAAGTGACGGATAAAGGTGCAGGCAGGAGCTTACAGGCACCAGGCAAATCTACATGTGTCTATTCCAGGGAGGAATCATCACCCCCTCCATGACAAAAGGGTCTGGTATAATCACTCTGCCAGCAGGTGCTGCACTGGTTTCCTCCCCCCACATCCACTAGGCACCTGCTGTCAAGCGGAAATGGCATAGAAGAAGTCAGGCTCACGCAGCACGGGCAGATGACGCACACTGCTCTGTCTCCTGTGTCTGTTGCTTTGCCTCCTCCCCATCAGTCCACACCTATGTCCTCATAGGAAGTTCCTGATGATCAAACAACGTAAGAGGGAAAAAATCACAGTCCTGATTTGTGGATGATTCTCTGAGATATCATTAATATCATCCGGAAGTAGACAACTGTAGCATTACAGCCCCACTCAGGGCTGGCTGAAGGATTGTAGTGAGGGGTAATCCTTCTGGTAGGCAGGATTCAAGCAGTATATTGAGTTCCATGTTGTCTGGACTGAGAGAAGGCTGGAGGAGTGGACCTTCATCCGTTCATGGGCAGTAGCTGACAGGACGGCAGGGTGGGAAAGAGCAGGATTGGGAGGTCAGTGACGAGGAGGTCTGGGGAAGAGGATTGCGGATGATGGGCCGCTCAGAGGAGCACGGCTGATATGTGCATATCTATGTGGCCGTTCTCAATAATCAGGTAAACAAGATGGTGCCTGGAGTGGGGGTGGTGGGTCAGGCAGCCTCTTCCCCAGTGCTTATTCACTGACCTCTTGACCAGAATGGCCGTGGCAGCAGGGCCCAACCACATGGTTGCACATGGGTCCAACCTCACAGACTTCCTCTCTGCAGGCCTACTCTATTACCATGGTGGGAGGGGAGGGGGGGTGCCTATCTTCCCAATAGCAGAGACAGGGAGCAGGCAAAGAGGGCAGGAGTTTGTGGCCTCGCTCTCTTCTTGGAGTAGGATAGCAAGTGGTGTGAGTGTGTGCCTCACAGTGCAGGGTAGAACATTCAGCAGAAGGGACAGGGGGCCTCGGGACATGGCGGGGAGGAAGCTGCAGTCTTGTCTAGGAAACCCTGTGTAGCCGCATCCACTGTGGCCCAGGAATGACTGTGGGGCACTGGTTGGGGGAGCTGTCTATCAAGTTGGGCCCCACAGCCTGTGCATGGAAGGCAGGGAGCTGGGGATCCCCATGTGTCCTGGTGAGAGAATGGTGGACAGCTGGGCGGACAGCTGGAGCTGCTGAAGCCTGGGGTCCAGGAGGGGAGGCCGACAAGAACAAGGGCCGTGGTGATGAGAGTTCTCAGTGGGGTCACGGTCAACAGCCGGGTGTGCCATTCCTGACAAAAGATAAAGAAAGAGGATAGATATGGTCCAGGCACCAGACCAGCCTCTGGTGGCAGAGCCCAGCCTAGAAGGGCTCCGTGTGTACTGGTCACGCTTGCATTCTTTGCCACCAGAGCAGTAAAGCCTGCCTGTGGTGCCAGATGCCATCTTGGGAAGGAGGAGGGAGAGGGAAGGAGCGGCCCCGTTGGAGAGTTGAACTTTGAACTTTCTGACCATTTTCCAGGAGGAAGGAGTTTTAATCAGAGAGTAAATAGGCAGGGTTGAGTCCCTTTTCTCTGCTTTCTTCTCTTCTTAGAACTCTCACATGAACCATATAGTGGCTCCCACTCACCTGCCTCTGTCCTTGCTCACCTCGCCATCTTCCCCACCACTACCTGAGTGACCCCGGGAAAGCACACATGCTGGGCCTCCATCGCTCACTTGTGTAGGACCCTGCAGTGGCTCCCAGGGCCCTCAGCTGAAGTCCAAGTTCTGGAACTCGGCTTCCTAACCTCCCTCCACAACCCTGCAGCAGATGTACAGTAATAAGTACATCTCTGAGGGATGCCTCTGCCTGCAGTCTTCCCTCAGCCTGGACACCTAGCTGATCTTGCCCCTTGTTAGGGCCCTGGCCCGGGCATCACCACTCCTGGGAAGCTCCCCATCTCTCCTCGGTGCAGTGGCTCACAGCGCATTCCTCAGGTAGCCCTCACCACACTGCCTGACTGTCCTTTATTGCCAGCTGTCCCAGCCTCTACTCAGTGAAGGTATGCAGGACTAGGAGAGGTTTGTGGACTGGAAACCCAGGCTCGGCAGCTGTTATTTGCTTACGCTGTCATTGTGGTGTTTACATATAAATGGATACTCCTAAGTGAGGACCTGATAATGATTTGCTCTTTTTGGAAGGTAAATATTCACCTTTTTCACCTACTCTTAGTTTTCTTAGTTCCTTTATTTTGAGGACAAATGCAACAGTAAATGTTAGCCTACCGTGTTTGATCACAAATTCAGAATTGATGAAGTCTGAATTAGTGAGTTTTAATGTATATTTTTTCATAGTCTTATGAGCTCCACTGTAATTATGTGGTCTAGTTTCAAATACAGCCAGCTGCCAACTCTTATCTTGATGCACTTTTATTACAGACAGAAGAAATGTACCAGACTTTTATACAGTGAAGGGAGCAAAAAGCATCATTATCCAGGTGAAACTGAAGAGCACCTTCTCAGTAGGCTGAAGAATTATTTTTATCGGGTGTTCATTAGGCTGTCCTCTGTGCTGGAGAGCAACGTGAAATTACCCAAAGGATGGGAAGCAGACAGGGAGACATCACAGGCTTTCCACTGTATTCAGAGCCTCAGAAACCGAATGTAGATGTAGGGGATTGAAGGCATGGTTCTAATTCAAGATGGCAGAGAAATGCACTGAGCTCTAGTACAGATACTGGGCTTTTGTTTCTTATAAGTACCGTCATTGCAGAGAAAGCCAGAAAATGTAATCAAGGTTTATAAAGCAGGTCATTTATTTGCCAATAATGTGTAATGTGTGTATATGTCTGTATTCATTAGAGTTCTCCAGAAATACAGGACCAATAGGATGTGTGTGGTGTATACATATATGTGTATAAAATAAAGATATTTATTATAAGGAATTGATTTACATGATTATGTAGGCTGACAGATCCCAAGACCTGCAGCTGGAGAACCAGGAAGAGCTGATGTTTCCGTTTGAGTCCAGAGACGGGGGATGGTCCTTGTCCAATGAGAACACATTAGACAGAAAGAATTCTCTCTTATTTGGGGGAGGGTCAGCCTTTTTGTTGTCTTCAGGCCTTCAACTGGTTGGATGAGGCCCACCCCCATTCAGGAGAGCAATCTGCTTTATTCAGTCTACCAATTCATATAGTCATCTCATCCAGAAACCCTCACAGACACACACAGAATAATGTTTGGCCAAATATCTGGGCACCCGTTGGCACAGTCAGGTTGATACATAACGTTAACCATCACAGTGTCTGTGAGTGATCGCACAGTCCAGAATCTCTGTAGTGATTGCAGTTCCTCATGCTCCGTGCACAGCGATAGTAATGAAGGCCCTCTGTGAATTCCTAGGCAAGCCTGGGTGTGTTGGGGGTGAAGAGAAAGTCTGGCATGCCTCATAGCTTTCTGTTTAGACCATAGCTTCTTAACCTTTGCACTATTGACATTTTGGGTCAGATAATTCTTTATTGTGCATCACAGGACACTTAGCAGCAACCCCTGACCTCTACCCACTAGATGCCAGTAGCATGTACCTAGTTGTGACAACTATAAACTTTTCCAGACATCGCTGCATGTCCCCCTGGGAGGCAGTATAGCCCTTGGTTGAGAACCACTCTCTGGGCCATCCCCTAACTCCCTTTACTACTTTGCGCTTAGGGTGTGTTTGGGTGCCATCTACTACCATTTGAAATCATCTCCCAAGACCTGCTGCCACCAGACCCTGCCAGCAGAGACCACCAGAGCATCTCCTCCACCTTTACCATCCTTCTGAGGAAGTTTACACCATGGTCTAATTAATAGGTAGGAAATGCAATCAAATCTTATATGAAAGGAGATAATAAGATCTCTCAGCCAATTTTCAACTTCCAGAACTGTTCTCATTTACCAGAAATAAAATCATAATGTGACTCCTGTTTAATGGGGGAGGAAGTTTGGCCTAAAGTAGCACGAGCTTGTAGCCTCCATTATGTATCTTCAGGTTACCCAATTCTTTCTTATGCCAATACAGATATTCTGTTGAGTCTTTCTAGTGATTTTTCATTTTAGTTATTGCACTTTTAAACTCTAGTATTTCTACTTGGTTCTTTTTTTATAATTTCTGTTTCATTATTGATATTCCTTAATAAAACCATTCTTGTACTTTCCCTTAATTCTTTAGACATGGTTTCCTTTAGTATTTTGACCATATTTATAAATAGCCAATTTAAAGTCTTTGTTCAGTAAGTCTACTACATGGTCTTTCTCAGGGACAGTTTCTATTGACCACTTTTATTCCCAGGTGTGAGTCATTTTTTCAGTTTCTTTACATATCATAGTTGTTGTTTTTTTGTTATTGAAAACGACATTTCAAATAATATAATGTGGTAACTCTGAAAGTCAGATCTCACCTTCTCCTGGGTTGTTTCTGTTTGTTTATTGACTTTTCTTGATTAATTATGTAAGTTCATTATTCTTTGTCATGTGTGGCCACTGAAGTTCTGCTTGGTTAGCTTAGTGGTCAGCTGATTGGACATAGATTTCTTTAATCACCCAAATCAGTAAGTCTCCCAGCCTTTGCCAAAGGGACCCTGTGTTTGTGTTGGAGTATGTTTGCAATGCTCTGGCAGTCAATTTACACATCTGTCTTAGCCTTTCCTTCTTGTTTGCTCAGTGCCTGGAGGTTCATCTACACACAAGAGATTAGAGTCTTTTTAGCTCTTTCCTGAGCATACCAGTATGCACAGCTCTGTCTGCACACAGCCCTGTACATGCATGTGGCCTTGTAGGTTCCCAAGAATATATTGGAGCTTTTTAAAGCTTCCTATGGACATCGTATTCCCCAGGATTTCCTTTGAAATCTTTTGATCAACATCTTATTATCTCCATCTAGTAATTCTTTCTGTTGCCTTTTCTGGGCCCCATTCTGTTCTTTGCACTCCCAACTTGAGCCCTGTGCACTTCCCAGATTGACATGGCTCATGGCTCACTCTCTATATGAGATCATTTATTGACTTGCAAGTCTCCCTTACTAAATTATGATGCTCATGGAGAACGGTGGTCAATATTTTTTTTCCTTTTATAGATGAAGATGTGTAATACACTTCCAGATGTTTGTAGAACAAATGAATATTTATGGACTCTGTAACATAAGGAAAATTCCTCATTTATATGATGTGTGGCATTTACTATGTTGCATTTAAGGTTCTCATTTGGCACTTAGGATAGTATTTCTTTTTGGATGAACCTTTCTTTGCAACTTCCACCTATCAGGCTTGCATTTGATGTGCAGGAGTTATTTATATTCTTGACATGTGCTGAGTATCCTCTAGTCTTGATGCTGGTTTGACAAAGCTGCTGGCTCTGAGTTCAGTGGAGCTGACCTTTTCAAACCAAGCTATATCTGTTACTAAAAAGCTTGAAAATCATTTACTGGGAAGTAAAGACTTGTTTATTGGGACATTAAACATATCTGCTTCACATTCCTGAGTATAAGCCCACCAAGTGGATATGAAATGAAACTGACATTTGTTTTTAGAAGTAAAGATGATATTTATATAATCTAAGATGTGGGTTAGAATCAGCGGTCACCAACCATTCAGACCTCGAGGACCACTGATTGGTGAACGCTGGGTTAGATAATGTGTGAGCCTTTTAGGTAGATTGGAATGAATGATGATGCTGGGAGGCTAGCAGCATGGGATGTGCCAAAGCAGAGGGGTGGGCAATAGAAAATGGGGGCACCTAGACTGGTCAGGGAAGCCTTTCTAGAGTAGAGATGGATCCTGATTTGGGGAAACTGTGTAAGTGACATGACTAAAGGGAGACCTACAGCGTACAGTTCTTGGAGGGACTGCAGGTGATTTTGCATAACTGGGTATTGCCATGCCCAGGGGGCACTGCTGGAGAGCTAACCCCTATCACTCAGATAGGAAGGGTTTAGGACAGGGATGGCGAACCTATGACACGCGTGTCAGAGGTGACACACGAACTCATTTTTTTGGTTGATTTTTCTTTGTTAAATGGCATTTAAATATATAAAATAAATATCAAAAATATAAATCTTTGTTTTACTATGGCTGCAAATATCAAAAAATTTCTATATGTGACACGGCACCAGAGTTAAGTTAGGGTTTTTCAAAATGCTGACACGCCGAGCTCAAAAGGTTTGCCATCACTGGTTTAGGACCTCAAGCCAGGAAGTATTGTCTTTTCCTGTTCCCAGAAATCCTCTTTAGCAAAGTTCAGTTCTTCCTGCTACCTTTACTTTGTCCTGAAAGAGGGAGGAAGGGGACACCTGGCACAGACTGAATAATGTGCAGGGATATGGATGCCAGGATGGGTTGGGTCAGGTTGCATCAGGCATCATAATTCCTTTCTAAGTTAATAGCTGACATGGCACAGAATTCTCAAATGATGCGGATAGGCTGATGTTTTCATTTAGCCTGGGCTAAGCCCGAGTTTCACAAGAGATGTTTCCTCCTGGCTGTAGGACTGCTGTAAGGTTGGTAAAGCTTTTTGTTATAGTTTTTAATTTCCTCTCCATTTTTAGAAATACTAATTTAAAAGGGTATTCTAACCAGTATTCATGTCTTTTTTCTAAATCCTATAAATGAAGGAAGACAAAAGAAACTAAAACATAAACTCGAATGCAAATTCTAAGTAGTTGAAAAAAACCAGTGTTTTTCGTCTGCCTTACTCCTAGTTAACATGCATATTTTCCACTGAAAATTCCAAATTCCAGCTTTTATTTATAAGCTTACTTTCCACAGAAACCTGTATGAGCTCCTTGAGCAATAGGGGAATGTGATAACAGGCGTTTCTGTGGGTATCAGCAGAAGCTGATACGATAATTGGGCGATATTCTGACGGATAGGTCTTTTAGTGTGAAATGAACAATGTCATGTCTTCGGGTTTTCGGATCTTGATTCCTGCCAAAGAAATGATAACGCTGATATTCTAGCTGAGGATTTTATTCTCTCCAGCCTCCTTTCTTGTGTAGGTGGGCTGTCAGACCTGCTGGAGATTTACCGGGATTTAAGGACACATGCCCTGGGGACCTCCAAGTGCTCTGTAGCTACCAACTGCGCTGGAAGCCAGCGAGAGTTCATCTAATCCAAGAAGCCGATAACTTTGGGGAGGGCAGAATGTACGCTGAGAAGCCCCATGGAGGGAAATTCCAGGGCGTATGCTTGAATGTGTGCCAATTATGTTAGATCTTGTGGGTTAGCCAAAGGCTTCAAGTGTATAAAACTGTTTGCAAGTTGGAATGTCAGTCACTTTAATTTTTTTAAAAATGTGGGTTTGTGATTCAAGTTCAAATTTGAAAACAGCATGGACTTTGGACTGTTCTTTAAAAAATGTTTCATACACATGGGGGGAAAGATTTGGTCAGTGCGATTGCTTCTTCTAGTGACCTTCTGAGCAGCAGGGTAGGATGGTGAACAGGTTAGGAACATAGATTCGGGAGTCAAGGACCATTTGCTAGTGAGTTAAAGAAACGGAAGTGATAAAAAGAGCGAAAAGCAAAGTGGAAAATTTATGGCAGAGATAAAAGGGTATTTGGTGGCATTCTCAGGCAGTGTTGCAGCAGGCCACCAAGATCAGCAAGCTGAATGTTAATAGCATTCCCAGGAGAGTGACTCTGACATTTAGTATTGGTCCAATCAGCTGTGCCCAGTGGTGTCACCACATCTGCTCTGGGCCATTCCTGTGAAACACCCTTGAAGGTGAAGGGATGAAGGTTAGTGAGTACCCCTTGCTCCAAAGAAAAGTCACAGTGAAAGCATATTTCATATGTGTGTGTTTTTTCTTCCCAGGCCAACTGCCTTCCACCCCCCACCCCCACCCCATACCAAGTGCCTTAAGTAGGAGAGTCCCAATATTCAGATTCCTTTGTAGGAATAAGACATTTCTCTTCAGATCTAGCCATGGCCAAAGAGGGAAGCCTCAGAAGTATTTATCCTTTGTCACTTTTAGGACTTCGGATGTTCCAAGTTAATCTTTTTACTCTTCTCTCTACATTAGGTGTATCATCATCACCATCACCATCACCATCATCAACACACACACACACACACACACACACACACTGGATCTGTAAATATCCCATTCAGTCTTTTGTCCTTGATCTTTCTGTTCTAGGTACCTTTCCAGAAAGTCTCTTGTGTAGACATTGACCTTTCATGATGAACCTTCATATATGGATTTAATATTCTTGGAATTCTGGCTTTTGTTCATTTGCCAGGTTTGTGCTAACCAGTGTCCTGAAAAAGTGTCCATATCCTTCCTCATGTTAGTTATTCTAGTCAGGAATAGTGTGGACTGTTCTACCTTTGTTTTGGTCTTCTAACTTTAAAGTTGTATACATTTGGTTTCTTTTTTGAAGTCATCATCTTCTAAACGTCATCTAACTCGGTAGCTTCTTATGATAATCACATTAAAACACAACTAAATCAGTTCAGTAATCATATTAGAGTAACTGCTGGGGTTTGTCACCATGGGATGGACTTACTGCAGTATTTCCCAGATATAGTCATTTTTTTGGATGTGAAGAGGTAGCTGTTATCAAGGAACGAGGTATCTGAAGAGAAATTCATTTGGGAAATGCAGGGTTCAACAAAATCAAACTGGTTCTTCAGTGACAGACGTCTCAAAGGCTCTGATAAGCTTCTGTGCATATTGTGTGTCCCCAAGAGAGCAACCCAGTTGGCAGCATTCCTCAAATTCATTCAATTGCGGAGCTCCCCTTTCTCAGACCGCTTGTGGGAACACTAACCTGAGAAGCACACATTAGGGACATGGGGATATAATTAAATCTTGAC